TTAAGGAATGCAGTTTCATTTGGAATGATTGGATCTTTTCAGACAAATTGAGTCATGTTGCATTTGGCCCTTGCAGTGATAAATTTAATTCATTCAAGATGGCAAAGATGTCAACCAAGTAAGCTATTTTCTGTAGTTCACTTGTATCACTGAAAAGTGCTTCAAACTGAGGTCTTGCTTTCTGATTAAAAAACATTTTTAGTTCATCACGAAGCTCAAAAACACGTTTTAAAATTTTTCCTCTCGACAACCATCTCACTTCAGTGTGAAATAGCAGAGCATGGTTTGGCGCATCCAACTCCTTGCACAGTTGCGAAAACAGTCAACTGTTTAAAGTGCTCGCCTTTACAAAATTGACACAACTTATGATGCTTTTCATTACTTCTTGTAATTCTTGTGTCAGCATCTTCATTGCTAATATTTGCCGATGAATCATACAGTGAGTTCCGATGACTTTTGGTGACTCATTCAGTACCAAATGTTGAAATCCAGATCGACATCCTAGCATAGCTGGAGCACCATCTGTGCAAACACCAAAAATCTTTTCCCAAGAAGCCTTATGCTTTTTCAGAAATAAACCAACTGTGTCAAATACATCACATGCAGTAGTTGTCATTTCAAGAGGTTTGAAAAAAAGAAACTCATCTTTAAAGTCGTCATCATTAATATACCTCACATGAACCAGTAACTGTGAACAGTTTGCAATATCTATAGATTCATCAAGCTGGATACTAAATATTGGAAGTGGAGCAGGTTTAATTTCCTGGATTACCTGATCAAGAATATCAGCAGACATGTCATCTATTCTTCTGTGGACAGTGTCTTTAGATAAGGACATTGTACTCAATTTCGTAACAAATTCATCTCCTATCATAACTCGAACAATGTCTTTGGCCGCTGGCAACAGTAAATCCTCAGAAATGGTGTGAGGTTTCGTAGCTCTGGCGATTCTGAGTGCCACCAAATATAAAGCTTCAACGGCTGCTATGTTTCATTTGTGGTACTTGCCACCAGTGTCAAGTCTAGCTTTCTTGAGTCCATCAGCTTTGCTTCTAAAATAGTTGGTATCTTTGCCGGCAAAGCTCGGATGCTTGCCATCAAAATGGCATTTTAGTTTGTTCGGCTTCATAGATTAGGCTGATAGAGCTTCACAACAAATAACACATTGCAGTTTCTCAACTCCTGCTGTAATTATTGAGGAGGTAAAACCATACTGTAAAAAATCCTCACTATATTTTTTTTTCTTAACGTTCTTCTCTACATGATCCATTGTCATGGGATGGCTTGCTAACAAAAATAATATATAGCAATAGCTTTAATAATACAAAAGATGATACATGGCATAGTTCAGTCAATACAGTTCATTAAAGTTTCCTATGATTTACCATTCTGTGTTGTTGTTTTTACATACCTGTTACTATCACAGGGGGCAGTATTCACATCAACCACAGCTGAATATAAAAAGACCAATCAGCATCCAGATTAAGTTCCCATGGTACAGATTATTTTTTTGCAGTAGTTGATGACTTTACAGTACATGATTTTATATTTACCCAGTAATTATAAATTATGAAGTGTCATTTTACCTCCAATACTGCTGCTTTCAATACAGTAGCTGCTTTTAACAGAGTAGCTGCTTTCAACACAGCAGCTGCTTTCTATACAGTAGCTGCTCTCTACACATGTGTGACTGGTCCACATAAGTACATTTGTTGAGGGCCATTAGAATATACTCAGTTTAATTTACGTCAGCTGGACCCAGGGAGCCAGCAAAGCCACTCCCTTGGGGGCATGACCAGTCAAAAGATTGGGCACCATCCAGTTTGATTCTCCCGCCCAGTGTTAAGGGGATAGATCTCACGATGTCTAAGGCCCACCCAGGAGCCTGGAAGGGACCTGATGTACTTTTAACCTGGGGGAGAGGATATGCTTGTATATTTCCACAGGACGCAGATTCACCTGTGTGGATTCCAGACCATCTAGTCCGACCTTATGTGACACCGCCCTCCACCTCCGCCTCACCTTTTTCCTCCCCTGAATCATCCATATCAGCTGACCCAGAGGGCACAGCTGACTCCTCCCCTGACGCCGACACCACCATCAAGCACAGCCCTAATGGGCTCATTGATCCAGTCATTCCCCCAGCCTTTGTTTTGAAGCTTTTATAAATACAGATGTAACAGCAGAATAAAGAGAGAACCTGGCTGGAGAACCTGGCTAGAGAATCTGGCTAGAGAATCTGGCTATGCCGATCAACTGAACGCTGTCTCCATGTCCTTCCTTCTTCGCCGACTCCGTCTACACCTTTGGGAACCCCTGGACCACTGGGGCTGGACCCCAGCATACATTATGGGGCCAAGCCTGTCACATACACCTGTATTTGTATGGGGTATATGTGATAGGGTTGGCGCGATGATGTCATCATGCCGGGTACTCGTATGTGGGCATATCTGCATGTGGGCGGGCCCTCCTGGAGTCGGATAGAGGAGTGGTATCTCAGTTCCTAAGACCATCAGAAATATGTGTTTTCCAATGGTCTTAGGTGACCCTTGTGAAAGGGTCGTTCGACTCCCAAAGGGGTCGTGACCCACAGGTTGAGAACCATTGCTCTAGTAGCTAATATGGGAAGGCAGCTAGATGATGTCTCCAAAAACAAAGAACATACTTTGGTTTGATGGGCATATGAGTGAACTCTGAATACAATGCTTAACTGAGTTCTATTTGGCAGTAAAATGATAATAAAATATTTTAATTCAGGGGTTTGTAAAAGTGATCTCACATCCTCCTGAAGCTGGAAGAGTACCCAGGGTAATGAGTCCAAATCCTATACCATTGGTAATAATCAGCAACAAGCTACCATACATTGATTCTCTATAATTGCAGATACTTGATTATAATATACACTAGAGGTCCAGTCCCTGAAATTCATGCACAGTTAGGGTCCCTACGCCTGGCCGGTGATCAGGGTCGATTGGGGCCTTCCTTCATTCCACATCATCCCCTGGTGGTGAGCACATGTCATAGCAAGTGAGCAAACTCCCGGTCTTGGTCAAACTCCTGAGGAGGCAATTTGTATATTAGGCTTTTATATATATACTAGAGGCCCGGTGCACAAAAATTTG